AGAAATATGACCGATCATATGAAATGGCCAAGTGTTGCAGCCACCAGCAACAGATAATATTGAACGGCTAAATGGATCAGTCAGTATATTAATGATAACCGGTGATATAGAATGGCCAGGTGGCAACGCCACGTGCAACAAATGAATGGCTATACATATACATGGGTCGGCCAGTGCGGCACTGCCGCCGGCTATGGGCAGTACAAATTAAGTGATAGCCAATGAGTGAAATTAATGATACTTTGTATCTGACCATGTGAAAGTTAATGAACAGACATTATATGGACTAACCTGGTCCTGAAGTACCAGTTGATAAATTCTCCAAATTTATGGAGATATGAATATTGATGAGATGGTACTATAAGTTACCACATGATTAATGTGATGTCGGAAGTTATGGCATAATGATTAAATGATATCATGGTATAGTAGTACTAGATGCTACCACTTTATGATTAAACAAAGTGATGAAATGGTACTAGAAGCTACCACTGGATGATTGAACAAAATGAGAAAGTGGTATCAAAAGCTACCAGCTATGGGTGATCACATAAAAATGATTTCTCAATATATTATATAAGTCTAAGGGGCTATATCAGATGACGAGATCACATTGGGATACGAGATCATACAGATATTACAATAAAGTGCTCCGGAAGAAGCACAAATGATAATGATTGTAGTCATGAACTACTATACACTGAGAAAAATCGAAATTGATATTATTATTACTAAGAAACAAGTACAAAATGTTCAGATGGTGGAAATATGGAAAAGAGGCAGTAAATACTTGATGAATACAAAATACGCAATGATTACATAATATAACCCATAAAAGAAGGGTGCGTCTCGAGAGTGTAAAACTCCGTAACTCTGCCACCCATGAATGATATCTGGGTTCATATTTGAATAATATCTGGGTTCATAATGAGAGATCTAAAGGATCAAAAGCTCTTTTTCGCTTGACCCCTTGTGTTTCCACAGAATCTTGAAATGTGATGCATTCTTGAAGCTTTTTGATAAGTTCAGCAGACGTGTCAGCAGATTTGAATACTTCTCTCATTGAAGGAGATATAAATGTTTGATATACTCCTATGTCTAAAAATCCAAGCAAACCATGAAAGAAGTTATTAAAGTTCAATAGACCTATGGGCTTGTTATGAAGTTTCAATTCTGCCCATAAAGCAATGGTGAACATTGTCATTAGCGTTCCATACCCGCCTGGAAGAATGATAAAAGCATTGCTATTGTTCACCATATCCATCATACAATCATGAATGGAATGAGTTAACATCATGCTTGTGGAATCCTTGACGACCTTTGTTGAAGCTCTACGAAAAGGTATGATACTTTTCACTTCTATCTCAAAACATTGTCCAGCCATTAAGAGACTATCATAGAAAGTATTGCTAGTCCCTCCATACAGCAAATTGATTTTTTGATTCCCCATCTCTTTGACTAACTGACTTACAATATCAATAGTTTGAGAAAAACTTACCAGTTTAGAACCACCAAGAACACATATGGTTTTGATCGGTTGAAGAAAATTATTACCTTGCGAAGACTCTGAAACATCCATCTATTTATTGATAAACTGAATTTTTCAAAACTTTGTGAGGCATATGATTATGATGAACGACTCGCTATTTAAATAGAAAGTTTTACAAAGCAATAAATAATTTTACTGTTTTCTTCTGACAATTGCAACTGACAGATAAGGTGTTGGGTTTTAAATAAATCTTATCTGTCGGCAACTATAAGTTTTTCTAGAAAATTACAGTACAACATACTAAACTGTATTAGTATGATTTTTCGTACTAACAAGACCAGTTTTACAAACTTGATCTTTTGAAATAATATTTTCGAGACTATAACGTTCTTCTTCATTTTTGAACTGAATCCATAAAGACATAAGCTCACGATGCACGTATCCACTAGGATGTGTCTCAAGAATCTGTTGAATCGTTTGATCCAAAGACTCCTTACTCAATCCATCCTTTATAAACGTTATTTTATCTTCTCGATTTTTGGACACGTACCCCACAGATTTACATCGTGTGTCACAAGTCCATCGAGCGCATTTGAAGCATCCACCTAATCTTTTTGCTCTTCGTTTCTTTGCATAAGTACTTTTACCCATACCTGGCATATATTTATATGAATTTGGAAACTCTCCAGACAATCGAACTTGTGCTTCGATCAACCATCGAACATCATTTGGAATACCATTATTCATTAGTACCCTCAATCTTTCTAGTCGAGATCGATAAATTTTTTTTATGATATTTTTCGGAAGAAAAGAATAATATTTACGGATATTTGAGAGTGCTAAATCCATTTGTAAATTCGGATCTTTGTTAAGGAAAATTGAATGAATTACCTGATAATTTATAGAAAAATATGATGCGTATCAGATACAACTCTGGACTTAAACAGTGTTCAAAAGTATGTGTGTCAGACGGCATGACACGATTCTGGATTTAAACAGTGGCTAAAAGATATTATGTCAGAGCCTACACTTAAAGTGCATTTATTGCCGCCGAAAGATGATGTGAAATGTTTGTGATAAACGTATCACAACGAATTATTGTGATCATTTTAAAAATGTTTGCCGATATTATTGATGATGGTTTGCATGATGAACTTATTCTTTGTGATATGAGATGCTTGTTCTCGATTGGTGAAAAATATTACTAGCTAAATATTTGTGAATCGATATTTGATCAATTTGAGTATGAAAGGGGTACGATATATATGGGCCCACTACCCCTCCATGTGTGCTACTAGATATTATGGATCCACTAGTTAGCCACATGTGTGTGATTAGTAACCTGAAATTACGAGATGGTTTGATCAAAGGATGATACAAGATGATTATGAAATACTAAAAATAAGTGTCATATGAAAGTGATGAAGCTAGTAATATACTCACATGATATGATGAACTCTTGAAAGAAAAATGTGCACATTACAAATGATATGAGTTCAAAGTCCTCTAAATATATGTTGAAAACGAGAACAAAATGGAGACTATATGAACTCCCCTAAAGAAATTCAATACTGAAAATACAGATCAGGGATCTGTTAAGATGAGGGGGAGAATCAATGATTGAAATTTGAAAATGATATATGCATCACACTGAAAGTGTGCGAGTCATAAACTATATGATACTGATGATGGTGAATTATATGAAATGGTATGATGGTTGAATAATACGCTGGAAGCGTTGGTATTGTGCAAATTGAAATTCCCCAAATATGTGATGAAAGGAGGCATATATATACCATTGATGGAATCAATTGATAATGAGATATCTCAATATACTACGGAGAATAATGGAGATGAATAAGTGTTGACATAAACAAATGAATAGCGGTATATAAATAATATTGGCGAAAATGAAATCAGCTGAAATGTGAATATTGGGAATTATTGGCAATAAGATCATTGAAGTCAATTGATGATGAGAATGAGTTTAAGAATAAAAATTGCACAAAGCATGATATGACATATTGTCGTGAATACCATCAGTATCTACAAATCCGAAAGAATTTATATGATACTCATGCAAATTATGGAAAGATTATTATGGTGAATATATGAAATACACGTTGTACTCTTTTTCCCTTGGCTGAGGTTTTGTCCCATTGGGTTTTCCTAGCAAGGTTTTTAATGAGGCAACAAGGATGGCGTATTCACATGAATAGTGTACTCTTTTTCATTCATTAGGATTTTGTGTCCCACTGGGTTTTTCCTAATAAGGTTTTAACGAGGCATATTCATGGTATGATGAGGACTACTGGATAAATGATATGATTCTTCACGATGATAAGAGATACTGGAGTAGCTGTACTCTTTTTCCTTCGATCAAGTTTTTTCCCACTGGGTTTTCTTGACGAGGTTTTAACGAGGCAGCACATGGATATTCCACTAAAGATGATCTATTTGAGGGGGAGCTATGTTGTGCTTCCACAATGCTCAGGTTTTGTCCCACTGGGTTTTCCTGAAGAAACGATGTTATGATTTCAAGATGATCAGGTTTTGTCCTACCGGGTTTTCCTGACGTGCTGAAGCAACGGTACCTGATGGCCACAAGATACACTTGAAGATGTGCAAATTGGGCTTTGTTCAAATCAGTTAAAATATGTTTAGAAAATAGTCATTCAAGGGGGAGTGTTATGAAATAATAAAATAATGTATGTGAATGACTATTTTGCTCTCGATGTATTTGTATTATTACAAATTGTGCCATCAGGAGTTTCCTATAAATAGGAGCTTCAGTTATAATGAAAAACATATCTTAAGAGAATACATTTTCTCTATTCTCTCTCTTTCTCTCTAGTTTTATAACAACTTAAAATTCAATATTGTTACGCGGATAAACGCTTACCGTGTATCCAAACGGAGACGTTAGACGCGAACCTCATCTGTCATCTCTTTTCAATTTATAGGCGCTAATATCAACTCTAAACTCACATTTAATATTAACCGGCGAGCACTACAAAGGGTAAGACGAAGCAACAGAATTTCTCGAAACTTCTGTCGGTCATCACAAACGTAGAGGCATTTACCGAAAATGGCCATGATCGATGAGTACATTTTGGGGGGTTTTGTTGCTTCCTTGTTTGGGTTCGTGTTGCTGTACAATTTGCGAAGGAACGTGAGGAAAACGAAAGGTCCGAAGGCTGTGCGAGCGGATGAGAGCCTCGAGAGATCAGCCGCAGGCGGCGGAGTCCGGGAGGAGGCTGGCGGCGGGGATGCCGATATTATCATTGTCGGCGCGGGGGTTGCAGGGGCGGCTTTGACTTATACTCTTGGCAAGGTAAAGGGATACGTGATTATCGCTGCCTCAATTTGGTCTGTGTTTTTTCTTTTTTACGATCTTACCGATTAATGCATGATTGTGGATTTAGATCCTTTACATGGTATGGCGAAACAGTTTTACTTTTAATTTCATAAAGAAGAATTGTGGAGACTGTTGTTTCATACGTTTGAACGAGTTGACAAGAAACTGCAGATTTATACGTAACGAGGAACATTTTAGGTGAGATTTTGTATAAGCCCTCTCTTTTTGTGCAGTCTTTAGTATGTTGTTAGACCCAATCCATTAATGATCTTAGTTGTCTGTTCAAGTAATTGAAAGCAGCAATGTAATTAACTCACATTTCAGGTCTCAAATTCATTTTTTACTTGGAATATTTAGGCCGCAATCTGTCATTTACTGTATTCATGTATTATCAACAAGCCAATTTTACTGGCTACCACGGGAACCTCAATTTCTTGAATACAAGCCATTAACCATAGATTGTTTGTGCCTACTCGATAATTTTAACTTAGTATTACCTATTTTCAGTGAGAAATTGTTTTGGGCAGTGATAAAATTGGTGATGTGTCAGAAAGAGTTTCTAGTTGCCTGCCTACCTGTTTTCAGCTCCATACGTTTTCTATCTTCAGTTTCTGTTAGTCGTGAGAATCCTGATCATTTAATTAAAAAGTGAAGAAAATTGGGTTTGGCGTGGAAGGATGAAAGAAAAATCACAGTCTCAATTGGACTTTCTTGTTCTGATGTAGGAGGGCCGGCGAGTTCATGTGATTGAAAGAGACTTAACAGAGCCAGATCGTATAGTTGGCGAACTTCTGCAGCCTGGAGGCTATTTGCAATTGATTGAGTTAGGCCTTGAAGGTACTCATATACAACCACACATTTATTTTTTCATCAGCCTCAATTTATTGGCTGAATTAGATTTGCATTTATGTAGTGGTCCAGTCTGCTGTAATTAGCTGTGGCCCAAGATTGGACTTGGTATTAAATTCTTTTGTAGTGGAGTTGGGTGCTGGCTTAGTGGTCTCACATATATATACGTGGCTGCAGATTGTTTGGAAGATATTGATGCTCAGCGAGTTTTTGGCTATGCCCTTTACAAGGACGGTAGAAATACGAAGTTATCTTATCCTCTTGAGAAATTTCATTCGGATATTTCTGGAAGAAGCTTTCACAATGGCCGTTTCATACAGAGGATGAGAGAGAAAGCTGCAACTCTTCCAAAGTAAAAGCCTAGTTACTTGAAAGCAGTTGTTTTGTCCCATTTATTCATGTTAAACAATGCCTGTTCATAAATTTGACCATGTTGGGTTGACAGCTATGACCATGACTACACCTTCTTGCATTCTTACAGGCTTTATTATCAACTAAAAGTCGATTGTTAACTTTTGTCCCACTTAAAAAGGATATGTGGCTATAACCACTAATTGGCTAATTATGAAATTAACTAATCAATGACCTATTACTGCCAGAAAACTATTTTTTTTCAGTCATGACTTTATACTGTGTTTCCGGTTCAGTGTGAGACTTGAACAAGGAACAGTGACATCCTTGCTTGAGGAGAAAGGGACAGTTAAAGGAGTTCAATACAAGACAAAGAATGGTGAAAGCTTTACTGCTTATGCTCCCCTCACCATTGTTTGTGATGGTTGTTTCTCAAACCTAAGACGTTCTCTCTGTACACCCAAGGTATACTTGGTTCCTCTTAAAATATTTCAATGTACGTTTATTTTATAACAAATATATTATAAGTTCCACAAATTTGATACATGATTTCAGGTGGACGTCCCCTCTTGCTTTGTGGGTTTGGTCTTGGAAAATTGTGAACTACCTTACGCGAATCACGGTCATGTTATTTTGGCCGATCCTTCGCCTATATTATTTTACCCAATCAGCAGTACGGAAATACGTTGTTTGGTCGATATCCCCGGACAAAAAGTTCCCCCCATTGCAAATGGTGAAATGGCTAATTATTTAAAGACGGTGGTGGCTCCTCAGGTGCCTGCAATTTCTCAAAAAGGGCTCAAACCTTTGTCTTATTATTATTCTATATTCGCATAATTTGCTGACACAAGCAAGAAATGTCCTCTCTTCAGGTTCCTCCAGAGCTGCATGGCTCGTTTATTGATGCTATTGAGAAAGGTAACATAAAGACGATGCCCAATAGGAGCATGCCGGCCAATCCTCAGCCGACACCTGGAGCAATCTTGATGGGTGATGCTTTCAACATGCGCCATCCTTTGACAGGTGGCGGAATGACGGTAGCCCTTTCGGATATTGTCATCCTTCGTGATCTTCTCAGACCTATACGAGATCTAAATGACGCATCTACCCTCTGCAAGTATCTTGAATCCTTCTACACTCTCAGGAAGGTGGGATATATGTTCATTATTATGCTTCTTATTCTGCATTATCAAATAGGAACTGAAAAAAGTAAATGAAATGGTGCTTTAGTTTTCTGATTCTGATTATTTTCAAACAAGAATAAGTACATTTACAAGTATATTACTATATGAAGACATATCTAATAACAAATTAACGAATTTAGGCTTTTCTGACTTATGTAGCCTGTGGCATCCACGATAAACACATTGGCGGGAGCACTTCACAAAGTATTCTGTGCTTCGCCAGATCCTGCCAGGAAGGAAATGCGTGAAGCTTGTTTCGACTATCTGAGCCTTGGAGGTGTTTTCTCTAGCGGACCCATTGCTTTACTTTCTGGCTTAAACCCACACCCTTTGAGCCTTTTTCTCCATTTCTTTGCTGTGGCTATCTATGGAGTTGGTCGGTTGTTAATTCCGTTCCCTTCGCCTCAGAGGGTTTGGTTGGGAGCCAGATTGCTTTTAGTGAGTCTGTTTCTCATTCGAATACGAGATTTTATGAATGTGGTTCTTTATTTGTGTTAAAATGTCGTTAGCGTGATTGGATATGCAGTTATTAATATTTTCGCTTTTTCGGTTTTACAGGTTGCATCTGGAATAATTTTCCCAATTATAAAAGCAGAGGGGGTTAGACAGATGTTCTTCCCTGCCACTGTTCCAGCCTACTACAGAGCCCCTCCTGTTAACTAAATTACTGCTATCCATTTTTCCTTTTTTTTCTTTTTTTGGAAAAAGAAGGGAAGGGAAAGAAAATGGTGGTAGTTTTGTTTGGTGTAAACTTAGCGATATGTGGTAAAAATTGTAAAGCATTTGTCAATGAATAATGATCCTAGAACGATTTCCCTCTTGAAACTTGTATTGCATTTGCACAGCTTCATTATTTATGTCTTCAGGATTCTTGGTAATGTAACCCACCCGCTGATAAATTAGAAATGAAACGATATCTGCCATTTTTATGTATAGCGTAAAAAACAGGATTTTTTGTTCACTGCTAGTAAATTTCCGAAAGCTAAATAAAGGAGAAAATTTCACTTTTAGTATGGCTACCCATCCTTATACGGTTACTACTTGCAGTACCCGAAGTGGTTAAAACTGATCAGTACTCATATACCCATATATACACAATATAATATATAAAATTATAAAATATTTTTTTATTTTATTTAATATTTAATACTCCCTTTTTTTTAATAAGTGTCGTTTTGAGATATTGAATAGTAATTAAGATTTTTTTTTACCAATAATAGTCCTCATTAATAAGGATAGAGATGAATGATAGAGATGAATGTTTTGAGAAAAGATGAAGAGTGAATATGAAAAGATGTAGTATATTTAATAGTTAGATGAGGTGATAATGGAAAAATATGTACAAAAGATCCAAAACGTCATTTATTTGGTTAATTGTTGATAAATATATTCATATTTATATATTATATTATACATGTATATACTATATATAATATATAAAATTATAAAATATTTTTTTCTTCGCGAACGCTCGATTAGTTCGCGAACTTGTTCGTATTCATTCGATAACTAAATAAACATAATTTCATGTTCGAGTTTGGTTCGATTGCTATACGAACGAGCTGTCATCGAACACGAACGAGCTTTGTTCGCGAACAACTCGGTTCGATAACAGCCCTACCCAAGGCTTCACTTCCGTCAACTTTGTGTCCTCTACCCAAAGTTAAAAAAAAAACTCACTAGTATTCGTATCTAAGCTTCACCTCCGTTAACTTCTTGTTAACTATGGGTCCTTTGACGACTACCACTTCTGGGTGTACTTGGATACAAATATATCGCTCAAAATAAGTTTCTTATAGTTAACTATAATTAATTTTAAAAAATATGATATGGTTAGTTGTTAGAAAGATTTTGAGTTTATATTAAAATAATACTTAACAAAAATTTAAAGTTGATTTGATGTAATAGTAGTAGAAAAATGATTTGAAGTAATGATTAGTTAAAATTATGTGAGTGGATTAACTGTGAATTAAAGTTGATGTGATACATAAGAATGATTAATTGATATTATTTAATCATATTGGTAATATTGAGGATGATGACTGATGAGATTAAGTTAAAGTTGAGGTAGATTTTGAGTATAGATTGAGTTTTTATAAACAAATACACCATTAAGGCATGCTTGTTTATCAAATAATCCGTTCAAAATGAGTTTTTTTTTTTTCTTTTTTTTTGTGGGATTTTTAAGAACGTATTTAAAACAAAATGATTAAAATTGATTTGATATAAATGTAGAAGATAAATAATTAGAAATGATAGTTAGTTAAAATTTTGTGTGTTGATGAATAATGAATTAAAGTTGATGTAATGTGTAAAAATGGTGGATTTTTATTATTTAATTATATCAATAATATTGAGGGTAGTGAGATTGATTTAAAGTTGAGTTAAATTTTGAGTATGAAATAAATGTGATTAATTTGCAAACAAACATATCCTTAAAAAACTCAGCTTCAAAGTTCTTGAATCTCTTCCCACTTATGCGATGTCCTGTTTTAAGCTTCCAGTGGGGATATGTAAGGATGTCTGTAAATTGGTTGCTAGTTTCTGGTGGGGTAAGAATGAGACTGGGGGAGACAAGATCCATTGGGCTAGTTGGGAGACTTTGGCTAAACCTAAATCTAGTGGTGGGCTTGATTTAAGAAATCTGAGGGTTTTTAATGATGCACTCTTGGTTAAGCAGTTGTGGAGGTTGCCACTCACCCCAATCTGCTTATCACCAAGGTGTTAAAAGGCAGGTATTTTCACAATGAGAGTATGTTTAATGCAAAACCTAAAAAAAGAGGCTCTTGACTTTGGAATAGCTGGGTGGGAGTGTTACCTTTCCTGAATTTGAGGGCTAGATATCTTGCAGGTGATGGTCAGAATATTTCTATTTGGGATCACCCTTGGCTACCTAGGGCCTCAAATTTCCAACATGTGTGTTGTTTCCCAGAGGATAGAGATATACTTACCTGGGTGAGTCATTTGGTCTTACAGGGGAGTTCTAGGTGGGATAGAGAGCTGATTAGACAAACTTTCTTGCCTGATGCTGATTTAATCTTTAAGCTTCCTATTTCTTGTGTTGGTAAAAAAGATGAACTTATTTGGCACTTTGGGAAATATGGGGTTTTTAGTGTTAAGTCTGCATATTATTTCATTTTCAACATAGAACCAGGATGTGGACAGTCACTTGGCACCTCCCTCTTAAGAATAAAATCAAACACTTTTTGTGGAGGTGTTGGAATCAATTCCTTAGTTTTAATGATCAACTTGTTAAGAGACATATGTCTGCTGATAGTATCTGCTCTATGTGTGGGTATGTTGCAGAGGATCTTAACCACATTCTCTTTGATTGCTCTAGAGCTAAGTTGGTCTGGAAACTGAGTTGAGTTGAGTAGAATGGTTTTGAGGAGGGTAACACCTCTTTTAAAATGTGGTGGGGAGAAATTTGCAGTCCTCTACTTTCTGTAAGCCTCAAAGATATAATCAGTTTATCTGCCTATATTCTTTGGTGGCTCTGGAAAACAAGGAACTCTTAACTGTTTAGAAAAGAGAGAGTCAGTGAGAGACAGGTAGTAGATTGGGCAAGGTTAGAGTGGATTGAATTTGGAGAAGTCATGGACAAATAGAAGGCTAATTCAGCCTCTTGTTTGCAGATTCAGCAGGCTCTTGAGGAGAATTTTTCCCAGAGGGTAGGACAATGGGAGATCACTGTCAGTGCTCTATACTCCTCAAGAACCAACTGACTCTGTCCTGTGTAGCTAAGAAGGAAGGAGAACCTGATTTGATTATGGAGCATTGCATCTAGTATGAAGGGTGTTTGGAGGGACAGTGGCTGGAGGCAGTAAGATGGGTTATGCTCAAGGCCAAACAACCAGGTTGGCTTCATTGTTGCTGTAGATTGAAGAATAAAGTTGTCACCCAAAAGCTTGTTAAGAGATCATCCTTTGATACTTGTTGTAATTCCATATCTTTGATATTTTCTCCTTGCTATTTTCTTTTCTTTCTTTTACATTTCTTAGTTTGGATTAGTGTCTTTCTTGTTTTTTGTTGCCTTAAGGGCTTGTAAGGGAGTTGGCTTGTAATTTCCCTGTGTACTTAGCAACAAGTTGGTGGCTCTTTGTAAAACTTTGGTTGATTTAGTTATTGTTTATTTGCCTTTGAAATAAAAAAAAAGCATAAAATGTGAAGTTCTGGCAACACTAAAATGTTCATATTATAACTTTTATCATGGACGCCTTTTGATACCAGTAAGAGCACCCACAATGCATTTAGTCTAATTTTACCTATGTGGCATATAAATAGACTTAAGTCCTAAGCATCCACAATGCATTGGGTCTAATTTTACCTATGTGGCATGTAAATAGACTTAAGTCCTAAATGACATGGACAAACCCAAGTAAAAAACTCAAAAGCTATTCAATGCAAAAATAAAATACTAGGTCTAGCATACATGCCAACCAATAAAAATGCTCTAATATGTTTCCTTTATTAACAGAAGGGAAAAAAACTTTTTGCCATCCGAACTATGACGATTTTCGCGCATCACCATATAAACTTTTTTTTTTACAAACCATCATCTAAACTACACGGGTTTGTCAAATTGTCCCCTAAACCGGATAAAAAAATGGTTTTAACTAAAAAAAGCTGATTATTAAGGGCATTTTTGAAATTTCATATATATCTTTAAAAAAACAAAAAAAAATTAAAGAAAAATGAAAAAACCTTGATTGCATTGGAAAGAAGGGTATTTTTAAGACCCAAGGTATGATCGCAACAGTTTTTTCCTGCGAGCTTCCTGGGCCGTGCACCAATAAAACAGAGTTCAAGAAAACGTCGGGGTGGGTAACCTGCAAGCTGTCGACAGCGAAATTCTCCGGCGAACTGTTGGTTAGGGAATGGTCATTGTGTGCGATCGTTTAGTCCGGGAGGAGTGAACTACCAGATAGTCCAAAGCGACCTCGTCCTAGCACTTGACCCTTTCATTTGAACTGACTCTTGTGCTTGAACAACGAACCCCGGGTGGGGAATTGGGGGAAGAAAGCTCAACAATGGTTCGATGTAATTGACTTCACTGCGCTTCGCCTCAACTTCGTCGGGTGCGGACCGGGAGCCTCGCGCAGGTCAGAGAAGGTGACGCGTTGGGAGACGAAGGCGTCCAGGGGCGAAGCGCCTGCACCGGCGTCGGGGGAGAGATTGGACTCGTTTCCGGGGTTGAAGAAGGTTGCAGTGAGGGGGAAGTACTGTGGGTCAGCGTACCAACTTTATGACCTTCGCCCCGTCCGCCGGCAATGCCGTCGGCGACCACGTAGGTGGTGGCGGGCTCCACGAGGAAGTCGAGCATTTTTTTATGAAAAATGGCAGGGGAAAACAAGTAGCACAAGGAGGATGAGGCTCTTAATGATCAGTGGGTTCTGCAGAGTAGGATAAAAGGCCACGAGAAGGGCACGAAATCTCGGACAGCTCATTTGGAGGGACTTAAATGGGAGGTTATTGTGGTTGACGAGCCCATGGTTAATGCATTTTGTTTGCCTGGTGGGAAGATTGTTGTTTTTGTTGGGTTGCTTAAGCATTTTAGGGCGGATGCTGAGCTTGCAACAGTGAGGTACATGAAAATGTTATAAAATCAGAATTAGTTTGGTGACGTACGTATCATTCTTCTTGAAATTGCAGAATATGTATTTTTTAGTATTGGTATGAGTAAAATTTTCATTTATTGTATTTCTGCATAGGTGCATCACACACACACACATTGATGATTTATAAGAGCGAAATGAAAGTTTACGTACGAGCATGTTAAGTATCTTATTTGTAGAGTTGGGCAAATAATTACTCTTATAGAAAAACATGTAAATGGATTTTTGACCTTGTGGATTTTATTTGTAGATGTNAAGAAGCCGGCCATTTGTTCTTCATTTTTTTCGTTTTTCTTTTTATTTTTTTTGAAAAATATATGAAATTCCAAAAATGCCTTTAAAAATCAGCTTTTTTTAGTCAAAACCACTATTTTATCCGGTTTAGAGGGCAATTTGACAAACCCGGGTAGTTCAGATGGTGGTTTGTAAAAAAAAAAAAAGTTTATATGGTGATGCGCAAAAATCGTCATAGTTCGGATGGCAAAAAGTTTTTTTTCCTTAAAGAAATATTAAATTAAGAATAAATGATGAGTGTTTGGGTTTGTACTTGGGTCCAAAATAGACCCAAGTGTGGACTTGGTCTCTTTTTTTCTTATTGCCACATAAGCTAGACCATGTCTACTTTTAATTGCATTGGGAGACATTGTTTTATAGACTAAGTCTATTTCCTACATGACATGCGATTTTTGTTAAGAGACCCAAAGCATTGTGGGTGCTTTAAATGACATGGACAAACCCAAGTAAAAAACTCAAAAGCTATTAAATACAAAATTAAAATACTAGGTCTACCATACATGTCAACCAATAAAAATACTCTAATATGTTTCCTTTATTAAAAGAAATATTAAATTAGGAATAAATGATGAGTGTTTGAGTTTGTACTTGAGTCCAAAATAGACTAAAGTGTGGACTTGGTCTTTTTTTTTTTTATTGCCACATAAGCTAGACTAGGTCCACTTTTAATTGCATTGTGGAACACTTTCTTATAAACTAGGTCTATTTCCTACATGACATGTGATTTTTTGTTAAGAGACCCTAAGCATTGTGGGTGCTCTTAAAGGGCATCCACATCCATTAAATTATTTCTCATTAATTCAATCAAAAAGTTACACTCTCTCTCATACACGTCATTTTTTCAATAATTCTCTCTCCATTTAAACACACCCACATCCCTACACATTTATTTAAATACAAATATGAGACCCATTATATCCATTCATTGAATCTAAAAAAACGCAGTTGCAGAAAAAAAATAAAAATAAAAATAAAAAAGGCTCAAAAGAGGCGTTCAATGTTGTTAACAGTAACAATGGTCCCACGCATTAATGGATGGTTGCATTTGTTGAACAGGGAACACTGCATTTAAATAGGGCAATTAAATGGACGAATGCGGATGCTCTAATTTAAATTTCAACGATGATAATTTTTTATTATGTTGTCTTAATCACACGTTTATTGATAAAAGTCGAGGTCAATTATGAAAGTATTTATTATAAATAATTTTTATTGTTTATACAATGGGAAAATTTCACTTTTGGTACCCCAGGTATACCTACTTTTCACTTTTGATACCCATGATTTACACTTAATCACTTTCAGTCACTAAAGTATTCAAAATCCATCATTATTGCCCGAATCGTCAGTTGACCGTGAGTCAACTGACCATCACCTTCTCTAGCCGGTTGTTTTCCCCAAAGAAACCTAAATAATCGGTTTCCCCTAATTTTCCCAATCGAGCAGACCTAATTGCTGTGAAAAAAACCCTAACATTTTACCTGTAGAAAAAAACCCCTAATTTTCCCAATCGAGCATATTCTGATTTGCAACGAGCATATTTAGAACTGCGACGGCCCATCTAACTCCATGGCGAGAAGGATTATACGTGGGTTGCAACCTGAATATGGTAAGTTTTTCACTTCAGTTTGTCACAATTTTTTTGAATTAATGGAAATTATATGGTTAATTATGAAAAGTTCCATATTATCTGATTATTGTGAGAGTTGCCCTAAAAATTAGGGTTTTTTTTCAGCTGAACAAATTAGGGGTTTTTCGATTATGAGCTGAACAAATTAAGGGTTTTTCAGTTTTGTTTATTTATTTATGCATACTATTTTTCAGTTCTGTTTATTTGATTTTTCTTTTTTTTTTTTCTTGAATTGTAGACCCTTTGTTGGAACCAACTGTCTTCACAATTGAGTTTCTGCACGGTGGTTTAATGATGCATATTCCTGTGAAAGAATACCGAGGTGGGTATTTGGATTATTTTGATGGGGTGGATGGGGAGATGTTTGGGTTGATTGAGTTAAAGGATTTTATAGAGCAACTAGGTTATAACAGTGATCATGTGAATGCCTGGCATGTGCATGGAATTAGTTTACAAAATGGTAGTCATATTATTGGTAGTGATCAATTGGCATATAAGGTCATGAACCTCATTCCTGAAAACAGAATAGTGAGAATTGTTTTAGAACATGTACATCATGTTGATAACAACTACACTAATCTTGAGGTTGAAAGTGATCCTGTCATTGACCTCTCATTTCTTGGTAGTCTGAACTCTACTGTTGAACAACCTGAACATCCTGAACAATCTGAAGAACATTAACATCATGAACAATTTGTACAATCTGAACAACATGAACAATCTGAACAATATGAACAAAATGAAGAGTGTGCTTCTGTTGATGATAGTGATTCAGAATGTGAGGAGTGCAATGATAGTGGCTATGATATGGATGAGGATGATATTTTGTTTGACAGAAATGTTGACAAAGATGCAGAATTTGTTGGGGTGAATGAAAAAAATAATGGTAAATAATTGAAAATGAGTTTTTGTCTGAGGGTATATTTGAGGAAGAGCATGATCTTGAGTTAGGGGATAGTGATTCATTTGAAAATGTTAGAGGGTCTGATGAGGAGGATAATGTTGTGAAATTCCCTAAATATAATCCTAAAACTGAAAAAAACCCTGAGTTGAAGTTAGGGATGATTTTTAGTACAAAATCAGAGACTAAGGATGTTATTCAGGGTTTCTGCTATAGAAGAGGGATGGTGGTTCGTTTTGATAGGAATGACAAAAGAAGATTGAGAGCTAGGTGTACCACAGAGGGGTATGGATGGTATATTTTTGTTTCACCAATGCAAAATGACTCATCTTGGCAGGTGAAGTGCTATGAGAAAAACCACAAAGGTTGTTCTTGGAACTATAATAATCCTAGCATCAAATCTGGGTGGATAGGGAAGAATTTCATGAAAAAATTTAAGAAGTACCCTAAGTTAGGAGTCAATGAGTTTAGGGGTATGTTGTGTACCAAGTTGAAGTCCAATATTTCTAGGCAACAAGCCTACAGGGCCAAGAAGAAAGCAATGATGCTTCTGGATGGAACATTAAAAAAACAATTCAGTTCAATTAGAAGCTATTGTTTAGAGTTGTTAAGGTCCAATCATGGTTCAACTGTTGTTCTAAAACTGAGCAATTGTGAAGAGCAATCTAGACAACCTGTGTTCCAAAGATTGTATATTTGTTTTGATGCATGCAAGAAAGGTTTTAAGCACTGCATAAAAATCATTGGGGTTGATGGGTGCTTCTTGAAAGGCCCCCAGGGTGGTCAACTCTTAACAGCTGTGGGCATTGACCCAAATAACCAGATTTTTCCTGTTGCTTATGCAATAGTTGAAAATGAGAATAGAGATTCTTGGTTGTGGTTTTTGGGGTTGTTAGAGAATGATTTAGAGATTGATAATGAACTTGCATGGACTTTCATGAGTGATAAACAGAAAGGGCTCATCCTTGCCTTTGAAGAGTTGTTCCCTAATTGTGAAAATAGGTTTTGTGTTAGACATTTACACTGTAACATGAAAAGAGATGGCTTTGTTGGTCAGTCTATAAAAAATCTTTTGTGGGCTGCAGCTAGAGCAACTAGGGTGGAAGTTTTTAGTGCAAATATGAATGAATTGAAAGAATTGGATCCAAATGCTTATGACTGGTTTGTTAAAAAACCTCCTAGTCAATGGTCTCGGTCTCACTTCAAAACTTCATTGAAGTGTGACATTTTACTGAACAATATGTGTGAGTGTTTCAATTCTTTCATCCTGAATGCAAGGGACAAGCCAGTAATTGTGATGCTGGAGACAATAAGGCACTTATTGATGGCAAGACTGCAAGTGAATAGAGATGCAGCTAAAAATTGGTCTGGGAAGATCTGCCCTAGAATAAAAAAGATACTTCAAAAAAACATGAAAGATGGTGCAGAGTGTATTCCAATAAAAAGTGGTGATTGGCACTTTGAAATCATAGGCCCTTATGATCAACACACTGTTGATGTTGCTGGACTGAGTTGCAGCTGTAGAAAATGGGATTTGACAGGAATCCCTTCTAAGCATGCATGTGCTGCTATTTGGTGTAGACATGAAGATCCTGAGTGCTATGTTGATGACTTGTATAGTCAAAACACATACAGAAATGCATATGAAAATGCCATCATGGGAATTTCATGTTCTGAATTGTGGCTTACATGTTATTTACCAGCTCCTTTGCCACCAATATATGAAAGTAGGCCTGGTAGGCCCAAAAAATTGAGGAGGAGACAACCTGATGAGCCGCCTGCTCCATCCTCTGAAACCAGGCTTAAAAAAGTTCAAAATTCAGTGAAATGTGGAAAGTGTGGTAAACAAGGCCACAACTCTAGAACTTGCAAGAATCAACAGTCTGAAAGTAGAACTCCAGTGGCAAGAAGCATGGGTGGCACTCATTCTCAGTCACAATCTAAGTCTCAGTCTCAATCTCAGTCTCAAGCTCAGTCTCAGTCTAAGCATCACTCTCAGTCTCAGAAAAGATCAAAGCTACCTGTAAGTATAATTTGATGAAAATATTATTTGATTTGATTAGTTGTAACTTTTATTATTCAATCTCACTCTTCAATTACATGTAACTTTTATTATGCTGGAATGACACTGTCATTTGTAATTGTTTTGCACAAAATAGGTTAAGAGGAGGAGAGAGTCTGCCACAGTTGGTGGTGTAAACTTAAGTGGAGGCACAAACAGAGTGTCTTCAATTAATGTAAGTTGTTTTTTCTTTTTCTTTTTTTATTTATTTATTTATTTATTTTTTTATCTTTTGTGCATGTTGTTTTTTCTCATATATATATATATATATATATATATATATATATGTATACAATATATAAGCTTGATAAATCAAATTTTCTACTTTTAGATGATGCAATCATCTTCTGGATAAGAGCTGTTGCTGCTGCTCAGGGGACTTCAAAGCAAAATGAGGGACAAAAATCCATTTGAGGATATGCTGAAGATGGAGAATGTATTCATTTGTATTGATTTATTGTGACAGAAATACATTATCTTGTGTGATGTTTTATGGACATGTTTGTGATGTTTTAATAATTGTCTTGACAGACTGTTGTGTGTTGTTTTATGGACATGATTGATTGTTGTAGTGTGCACTGGAATAGAACCTTTGTTCTGTAGTGATGTTTTTTTGGTGTGAAGCTTTGGTTTGGATGTGTTTTAGGTTTGTTCAGTTTTTGATATCCTTTGTCTGTCCTTAATGGATGTGAAACTTTGGTTAGAACCTTTGCAATGACTCTTTGTTCAAGTTTTGTTCAATGTTTGGTAACAAAGTGAACCTTTGTTAAGTTTTTGTTCAGGTTTTGTTGTGGTTTAGGAGTCTTCTTCATATTGCAAATACATAACAGTACTCATTGAAAACCAAATGCTGAAAATGGTACATTCTTTGCATAACAATATTCATACTGAAAATGGTACATGAATTGCATAAGTAAAGCATTACATAATAACAATACTTCAAATTACACCAACCATAACTATCTAAATCTAGTTAGAACATAATTTGACAAGGTATAATAATGAGAGAAGAATGGTAGCAGCCCATAATTTTTTGATCTTATTCTTGCACACAACCAATGCATTGTTCATGTCATCCACATTGTTCATTGCCACCAACAGCTGAGCTTCCAATTCAGCAGTCTTCAACTTGTATTGCTCAATTTCAACCAATGCATTGTTCATGTCATCCACTTTTTTCATTGCCACCAAGAGTTGAGCTTCCATTTCAGCATTCCTCAACTTGTATTGCTCAATTTAATATTGATGTTTATTTGATTTTCCAGCAAACCAGGTATAATATTCTTTGCTCTTGCGCAAATTTCCGGATCATACCATATAAAAAACCCGCAAAAACCAAACTTTTGCTGCAAAAATGGGATTTAGGCATATTCAGGGCATGCGAAAATTTCACTCTTAGTTTGCAGATCCCAAAAACAGTTATATATTCAAAATTCCAAAAAAAAAATACTAAATGAAGCTTCAATATTGCAGAAATTTAACAATTCAACAAACTAAATCACGGCAAGAACTTTAACAATTCAACAAACTAAATTTAACAATTTAACAATTCAACAAACTAAATCAAGCAAATAATGAATGGATTCACCAGTACAGGGATCACACTAATCAGATCAATTCAATCATATAAAACAACATCAGTTTAATCAAACAAAAACCAACCTTTCAGCGCCCAGATTCAAGATTCACAAACACAAATAACAACTGGTCCGCACATAATTCGAAAACACATTCGAAAACAATTTATGCTATAAAAAAAACCGCAAAAATCGTATACAATTTTCTCTTTGCTCGTGCTGCAAAAATGGGATTTAGGGCATATTTAGGGCATTCGAAAAATTCATGCTTAGACCATATTTAGAAACAAAATGAAAACACAATTGCATAACAAAATAATTAATTACCCCATATTTAGGGCATGCCCAATATCTTCTTCTCGGATTATTTTGGGTCCAGGAGGTCTTCAAGTATACTTTATCTCCACACCTGCAGGTCATCTCCATTGGAGCACCATTAATCTCGGAGTTCCAGCTCGAGCTTCCTCTTGAACTGCTCATTTCAAATCAAATTCTTTTTTTTTTCCCCCTCACTGTCTGCAGCTTTGTGGTGCTGTAATGGAGAACCCTGCCATTTTCTATCACTTGCAGAAGGAGACGACCTGCTGGAGAAGGTGGCCGTCAGTTGACTCACGGTCAACTGACGATTTGGGCAATAATGATGGATTTTGAATACTTGAATAACTGAAATGATTAAATTGAAACCAAAGGTATCAAAACCGAAAAGTAAGTATACCTGGATACCAAAAGTGAAATTTTCCCTTTATACAATTATAATTTACTCGTGTGTTTTTAACATCAAATTGTTCAATGCGCAGATCACGTACCGGTGCTCGTTGCGAACCACAAAATATTTATATAAATAAAATTCATTGAAAATGACACAAATCAAACAATAAAGTTATAAATGAATGAAACTAGTTTGCTCCCGCTTGATAGATCTTGCTCTCTCTGAGTCCTCCGAGCTCAGAGGTTAAGCGAAGAACACCAGCAGATCTAGATCCACTTCAATCCTTTCGATTTTCCCGCGTTTGGTGAGTTTTTCAATTTGCATTTTGTCGTCTGCGTAAATTCGCCAACTAGCTCATCCATAATGGATCACTGATTTGTTATCTTTTCATCTTTCTCATTTCTAATCGTGATTTCAATGAACATTCAGCTCCTGTAGTGGGTTTCTTCCGTTAAATTGAGAAATTTTATATTTTGCTGCTGTTTTCCGTACGTGCCTGGTTTTATGCACTTTTTGGAGCTTGTAGCAGCCGATATCTTGTCCCACCAACTCACTCCTTTTTCTCCTTTTAAGTTTTATTTTTTTGGAGTGGTTATGGCGTCAATAGTCTTACAACTTTACGGGCTTAGATATAGTAGTTATAATATGTTCTTCGTTTATCTTCTTGGATGCTGCAGAACACAGATGCAAATTGATTAGAAGTTTAGTTATAACTTATAACTTGAGTTTGACTTTGCCTGTGTAGCTGTCTGTGTATTTTGCTGCTTTCAATATCAACATCCATATCAGGATCAGGAGTTTGTTTTTGTTGAAAGTTATTTGGTCGCATGAGAATTGTTACACTGGAAACGAGAAGCATTTTAAGATTGTTTCAAGTTAAAATAAATGGCTTCTTGCTATGGTTAAGTTATTCTGATCCATGAAAGCCATGGTGAACCTGGTGGTTCTTATAGATTATTGGAAGTGTTCATTTTTACTTTAGTTTAGCTATTAGCTTCACTTACTCTTATCTGTGACAGGTTCCTTTTAAACTATAAGACGATGTCAAGAAGGCCTACAGCTGGTCGCCGCCTTGCAGACAGTGGGAGCATTCCTTTTGTGAGTGCATTGCACTCGAAATCTCATCCATCTCCTCTTTTGTCAATTGGCCTCTTTGTTGTGGTAAGTCTCAGTTGCATTTACTTCACCTCCAACCACAAATATGTGGATATGGATGTGTGCATGAGCATAAGCACAAACATATTATTCACAGACTTATGCATGAAATCACGCTGAAGCATGCACTTGACATCCTTTCCTTTCTGTCTTATATACTGAAGTCATGGAAATTAAATGCAACTCTCTCTCTCTCTCTCTCTCTCTATCTCTCTCTCTATCACGTGCGTGTGTGAGCGAGGGAATGTAATGTATTTCTCTGTGTGTGAGTGTGCTCACATCAATGTTTTTGATTCAAGGGTACTACTCATGCCTTCTTTTATGTGTACAACTGGTAATGAGCCTGTTGGCTTTGAAGAGTATGCTTTTCTAGCTTGAATTCGTAGTTATCAAACTGATTAGGTACTTCTCGTGGATTATTATTATTATGCAAAAAATAATATATATGTTTTTTGTTGAACCAGGGAGCCCTGCTGATTGTTGGTTATTTGTATCATGGCTCAGGTGTGTGTGTATTATTTACATTTTTGGACATATATAGCTCACACACTTATATCTCATGAATAATTTGTAGGAAGCTTTGACAGAACGGTGCCAGCAATTTTTTGGGTAATTTTAATTCCATCACATTTGGTTATTCTGACTTTTAAATGGTTTGTTGGCAGGTGGCAGGAGTGGCGACATTGGCGCTTTAAATAGACTCGATGGTAATTCTTTATAATTTAAAAGCAGTTGTCCGTATTACGTTATTCCTATCCATTGTGTTGGCATATATGGATGAATAGGTGCTCTCTGGAATAAGAAGACATCTATACTCGATACTGTTAACTATTTAAAGGCCTATATTCCCTTAGTAGAATTGAAGACATCTATACTAGATACTGTTAACTATATCAAGGCCTATGTTCCCGTAGTAGATATGGACAAATCGAAACTACCTGTTCTGTCGTTACCTATTTATGATTGTATACTTGCCATTTCTTTTCTTTCATCATCTCATATAGCAAATAAGATGTTTGCCTGTTATTTACCCCTTTAGCCACGAAATGCAACTCCATTGCTAGGATGATAACGTAAGGTGCGCCAAGAAAATGTTTTCTTCTAAGAAAAGTCAAGGCATTCACAATTTTATTTTGTTAATAAATGCACTTATATTTGTATAGGTCTCGACCAAGATGTTGGGCTAGAGGACAATTCAAAAATAATATAAGTTAACCAATTTCTTACATTTCTGCAATTTGCATTTTTTGGAAGAAGACAAATGAGCCTTATTTCTTTTTCTCCTTTAGAGAGTAAAAGTTACATGAATCACCTTTTTTTTTCATATTCCTTTTCTACAGTGCTTTGAATCTTGTGCAATCCATTAATATGCATCATATGCAGGTGGTGTTTCATGTTCTCAAGAAGTTCAGAGAGTAATACCTCTTCTAAAGAAAGCATATGGCGACAGCATGAATAAAGTGTTGCATGTGGGCCCTGAAACCTGCTCGGCAGTCTCACAGCTATTAAAAGAAGAGGATACAGAAGCTTGGGGTGTGGAGCCGTATGAGCTGGACGAACCTGATAGCAACTGCAAGAGCCTTGTGCGCAAAGGCATTGTGCGTGTGGCTGATATCAAGTTTCCTCTTCCTTACAGGCCTAGGTCTTTCTCACTCGTCATAGTCTCGGATGCATTGGATTACTTGTCGCCCAAGTATCTCAACAAGACTGTTCCGGAGCTTGCCAGGGTGTCTGCTGATGGCTTGGTTATATTATCCGGTAATTATGTGATCATATTCCAAACTATGACTTACTATTACGTGCTTTCATACTTCTATGGATACTTTGCCTGAAAAGGCTATGTAAAACTGAAAGCATCCTCTGCTTAAGTTACTTGGCTGCCATAAATTTTGAAAATTTCTAAAAAACCCATTGAACATCCAATGAATCTGTATCCCATTTTCGGTTATGTGGACATCCTTGAGTTGAATTCTCTCTTTCATGAGTTATAGTTTTAAATATATGTGGACTCAATTGGAGGATGTATATAAACCAAATTAGTGATCGCATTGTGGGTTTGGCTGTAAAATATACACAAGTGGATCTTTCTGACATTGTTCGTTTTATGCAATTTCCAGCGATCAAAGGATTAAGCTCGTAGAGATTTTGAAAATGATAGATCATTTTGCAAATAATGGTTTTTTCCTGCCAAATTCTTTAGGTTATAGGATAAATCGCAATAAATCACAACTGACCTAAAATAGGGCAGTAACTGGATTAGGTTATTTACTTTGACAAAATTATTGTAAAACCTATCCCTGAAGTTTAGCATAATTAAATTTTCCAGTCATCTTATACAATTACTACTGACCCCCTGGCATGTGGTTAGATTTTACTTTGGAGGCATTATTAATCACAAAACACATACCCATATGAAATATTTGTTACTATGTAATAAGGTTAATTTTTAAAGATATTTGGTTTTGTTTTGTTTTCTTTCCAAATCAAGATTAACATCTAGGTAATAACTGTAACTATTTCTACTTTAAATATGGGGACCAGTGCATCTCTAAATTGGGTAAGATCAAAGGATTGTTGAAGTTAGGAGTCTGCACACCACAAGAAGTTAAACCATTAACATATGCTACTTGGTGGATTTATTCTCGCAATTACCTGTGGCTTAAGTCCATAAACTTTGACTTAGTGGAGTAATACCGATGACTGATATGAGATGACGTGACTGTTTTAGGAGTCAACCAATGCGTACAAACCTTTAAAGGATGATCTTATTCTCAGTTCTGGCTTTACAATTTCAAAATTTCCATACAAATGCAGGTTACCCAGGTAAGCAGAGGGCGAAGGTGTCTGAGCTATCCAAGTTTGGGCGCCCAGTAAGTGAAAATTTCGTCCTTTTCCTTTAAAATATATGTAATGTATATAGTAATATATGTATATTTGATTTCTTTCCTCTGACTCATTCTCAGCCTCTTTCTTTTCTTCATGCATCTGAAAGAATTTGAATAGGTGTAGATAAAATGAAGTAACTGACCGGATCTAGGAGAATTTTAGACATAAATCCATATTTTGTTCAGGCATGTATATATATATATAACAATTAGGTATGATGTTCAATACATGCCTAAACAAAATATACATATATATACATATATATCAATTATATATATATATATATATATCATATTTCCTGTTCATTATGTTAACAATAATGGTTTCATAGAATTAATAAAATATATGGGGAAGTGATTAAGTTGTCATGAGCTGCATGTCTCTTCCTTTGTCTGACCATCAAATTCTAAATTTTGAACATGAATCTTAATAAAATATCGCAAGTTTAAACTTCTAAAATCAGCTTCTTGGTGTTCATTGTGTAGGCTAAATTCCGAAGCTCGTCTTGGTGGATAAGATTTTTCATCCAGACCAGCTTAGAAGAAAATGAATCTGTTATTAAGAAGTTTGAGCAGGCGGCAAAAAAGAAGTCCTACAAGTCGGACTGCCAAGTTTTCCACCTCAAACCATTGCATTGATCGATTGTTGGATAAATGTATTGGCAAACATGCCGAGGGTCATCTTTAGCTACGGTGTTTAACCTGTCATCGTGGAAATTGTAATAATTTTTTCGTTATACAAGTTTGGGACACCTAAATTATTGATCGCAGCATTTTTTATTTTTTTTCGGTCTTAATTAGCATCGAGCAAAATGTATCATTGTTCTATATTGATTTACTTTTGTGTAACAAGAAACATTCTGCAAAATTATGAAATCTCAGTGTACTAGTGTACTTCTCAATTATTATAGAAGGGAAAAGGGGTGAGAAATAGGAGCAAGTATTTGTGTGAATGCTCATTTTTTTGCTATTTGTCTAAAGTTTACTTGTTGTAATGGCAACATGTATTCATGCGAGCTTACTTTTTTCTTTCAAGTTTCTACTTAGAGCATCTCCAATGCGCAAATGTTGTTGTGGCGAATTACATGTCACATCAGCACATTTAGTAATATCATAATTTTTCATCTTCTAATGTATAATGTAATCACAAATGTTGTGGTGATGTGGACATAATTAATGTCTACAATGTAGAAAATGATGTGGTTCATCCATATTTTCCTTCACACTCTAGCTAGTCAATGAAGAGAAGAGAAATAGTTAATTTTACTATTTTTAAATTATTTAATTATTTAACTAATTTTTCTTACTTATTAAAATTTTAATATTTGGTAAGTAGATAATATTGTAGATAGACTATTTTGTGCATTGGAGATGTTTTTTCAATTTCATAGTTGTGAATTTAAAATTTTTCCTACATGGTTTACACTCTATTTAATTTATTGACATTTGTCATAATTTATTCTATAACAACATTTGAACATTGGAGATGCTCCTACTGTAGTTTGACATACAAATTTGTACATAATTTGGAAAGATCGTGATATATATATTGGTACAAATTTGTAGTTCATAAATTGGAAAAATCGTGAGATATTTGTAGGTACCACTAATTGAGTCCAGAAATGTTGTATTCTTTGAGAATATTATTTCTTCCGAAGATAGACTAGAATTTAGTTCCAATGATAACTAGTACGGTACTTAAAAAAATTGACACTTTTACAACAAAAAGTAAGTAAAATAATTGACATTTTTCATGTTAATCATGAATAATAAATGTACAATTATTAATAAAGAACTAGTAAAGTGATATTACCTAACATTAAACTTGAGTTTTATAGCTAATTTGTTTTTTTTTTAATTACTTTTATAAAATTATATGTCTAAACATATTATCTATAATACCACATTAATTTCAAAATTTTCTTATTTTTTATAAGTTTTATTGTATTATAAATATATTTTTTATTTATAGAGTTGGTTTCTTTCATATATTAATTTTTCAAGTATTTTAGCTATGATGTGCATTCATGTTTTTTATTTCCATCATTATAGTAATATTCTAACTCTCTATATACTATGTCGAGACATAATTTTATAAATATTTCTTAATATTTATTTTTTATTAATACATTTTTTTTGAAACTATAGTCTTTCATTAATAAAACACATAATTACAAACTAGAAACAAACTACACAATAAAATAAATCAGCTACTCAGTTGACACTAGTTGAGAGGACTACACCAATGGTGGCCTAAAACCAATCAAAAGCTTCCAATAGGAGAAAACAAAAGCCCCCACAAGTGGAGAATACGAGAAACGCACTCCCAACGGGAGCACCATATAATTAACACCGCGTCGTCGCCTCGCTTGCAGGTTTGATGTATCTTTTTTTTTTTTTAATATATGTATATATATGTATATATATATGTATGTATCTTTCTTAATGGGCCTCTATATATTTTTGTTTTCTTTTAATAACTAAGTTATTATTTTGGGTTGTTAGTTGTAGGTTGAATTGTTTTATATTGGGCTGGGAGCATAATTTTGGCCTAGAGGAATTTTACTCTTTTGGACTACCTAACTAATATAGGTTGGAGACAATTTTGTTGGGGCCTGTGACTCCACTAATATAGGTTGGATCCGCCACTGCCTTCGCTCAGGCAAATGGAGATCTAGCTGAATGCCTTCTCCCAGGAAAACAAATCACATACATTGCCTTTGCCCAGGCAAATTGTTTACATACATACTTCAACTATAGAATCATGCGATTATAAAGATTAAGGGCATAGTAATTTAGAGACACCCACCTCACTTCAGATGATGATGATAAATGTTGAATGCTCAAGGGATATTCGAGGGCTCGGCTCCTCAGAAATATACATTTTAAGCATTTAACTTAAATAAATAACTTGTCTTTCTCTTGGTAAAGTAAATTACCAACTTAAAGAATTTACTTAGCATGAGTTTCTTAACTTAGTGAATATTGTCTTAATTTTGGAACTCTCGGCTAAGGAAAAATTTTAAAGTTCGAAAAAAGGTTCACGAGTCTGAAAATAAGGTTCGACTAAAAAAACGGGTTCATCGACTAAAAAATAACTCGATGGCATGCAGCTTGGCAGCTAGCCCTGTGCGGTTGGGCACTAGCTCTGTTTTAGCCACGGCTAGTACTGGTCGCCTGGTTGCGAGTGGCGCAAGGCACCCATGCGCTGCCTGCCATTTGGCCTCGGTGCTGCCAGTATGCTGCGGACCAGACTTGTTGTGCTCCTGTTCGCTATGACATGCCGCGGGCCTGCTGGGGACGTGCTGTGGGAGCCGAGGCCTGGGGCCGCACGTTATCCTGTTTAGCTTCAAGCACGCTCGGCGATGACGGGACGCTGCTAACACATGGATCAACGGGTTGTCTACGGCTACACTCGAGGCAGTCGACAAAACTGCAACGTGACATGCTGCGTGCTGCACGCTGCGACGCGAGCGCGGCCCGCCAGCGACCCAAAGGCTGCCAGCAGATGCGGCGCGACTGCGGTTGCATGCCTGCGCGAGATATCATCGACATCAGCGTTGCTCGGTCGCGTTGTTCGGCTGCATGCGTGACACCAGCGTGTCTCTCGGCACGGGATCTCAGGCCTAACCACCACCCGCGTGGCTGCGCCCGGCCAGGTCTTGGTCCTAGGTTTAAGGCTCACTAAGAAGGGTTCAAATTATGGGTTTTCAACAAGGTTCAAGGCATGAACACAAGAACACTATAACTCGGTTTTTCTCACGAAATTAAATTGAAACTCAAGGCTTCAAGACAAACACAAATTGAAGACATAAAGGCTAACATTTTCATGGCTTAAAGGCTCGATTTTTCAAACACATCAAGGCAGCACAAGGCTAAGGTTCATCGCTAAAAATCAAGGCATATAGAGAGTTCCAATACACATTTTTTTTCACAACAACCTTAAACTCTTTTTTCATCTTTTTACACAAGATCTAAGCATATAAATTTTGGGAAGGATTTAAATAAAAGTGCTTGGAAATTACATTTCTTCTTGGATTAAAAAAAAAAGGGGATTGAATTTGAGGGCTCGGGCACGGACACAGCTATCCCGACCTCGGCGACTCGTGCTCATGGACGGCCTCATCTCGGCGGTTGGATCTCGGATATGTTGGGTTCTATTAGGACCGACAACAACATGCACGTTTGAATTTTGGAAAAATAAACCCTAACGCAGTGGAATCTATAGTTAGGGTTAGGACATTGTCGTTTTAAAAATTTTGCCGACTTAGAGACGTTTCGGATTTCCTTTGATGGAGATCGTCCGATTACCAAAACCCGATGGCTGATCGGTTTGGCCTTTCTCGATTCTGATCGAGTCACTGAATCACGTACGGATCACCGGTTCGGGCTCGTCGGGCTCGGTTCACTGGGTCGACTCGGTCAGACCCGAATTGACTCGGTCAGAACTTGGCTGGGCTCGGTCACGTCTCGGGTCTGGTCGGGTTCAGCGGACGTGCGCTGGTTCGCCGGCTGGTGCGTGTCATGCTCGGTTAGCACGGACAGGCAGATCGACGCGGGTAGGCGCTGGTGGCTCGGGCGCGTGCGGTCGAGGACTCCTATGCCTGGGCGGACTGGGCGCTGGCGTCAAGGCTCACGTGGACGTGCTCGGCAAGACAGACAGGCGCGCTGTTCTCGAGCAGAGGATACGCGCGTGCACTAGGAACACGTGCAGGNCTGGGCGGCGGCGGCGAACGGCAGCGGCCGACGGTGGAGGATGGCCGGAAAAATTAGATCTTCAAGGTTTGATCTATCTAACCTTAAGATCTTCTATTGTATTACCTTAACACCTACTTCGACTAATCTTGGTGGTGCGATTAATTGAAACTCCTGAACTCTCGAATATATGTAGATCTCGATTTTCCTCTTCCTATTGGAACCTTAAAATCGAGCTCAAGCAATAGTAGGGGAAGAGGGGGGAACATGGTGTATTTATAGGCTACATTAGGGACCTTAAGGAGGTGCTAAATATGGGCTATCCTATTAGGCTTAGGAATGCTAATCATGCTCCATATCCTTTCCCATGTAGAAGTCTTATTCCTCTTAACCTTTATTACCTTCTAGAAGATTCCATAGTCTCCTAACCCTAGGTAATATTTTAGAAGGAATATTCCTCTCCTAATGGAATCTAAAATATGGAATATAATTAATTCCTAATTAGAATTAAATAATAAGACATCCCACTAGAGTAATATTATTACTCTCCCCATTTAGCTCAAATTTATTCCATAAATCAAACCTCCAAATGATTAATTAATGTTAATCTAATTGACCGATTTTACATCTCTATGTTTAAGATATAACGTCTATCAGTTAATTTAATTACTGACAATTAAATTAAATTGGTTTCTTCAATTTCCAAAATTAGTACCACTCAGTTCATTAATCATTATGTCGAATAATTATCCACTTGCAGGGTTTGACATAATATTCCTTCCTGAGCTTATTTTGAGGACATCATCAACCCAACGCACTGGGACATAGTGACTGTAAATAATTTATAACGGCACATCCTATAAGTACTCTTACTTATCAATATAACAAGTATGTCATCCTAACAGAATACGAATCACCCTTGCTAAATCAAATAAATAAGTAATGAATATATGCCCATTTTATATTATCTTACAGATTGAAAGTACGCATCAATCACTGAAGGCCTAGATTATAACAACGATCAGTAAATCTTATAATCTTATCCTTCCGCGGTCCATTCAATACTTATCATAAGTACTAGTGTAATCCATCAGTCAAAGATCAACTGAATCAAGACCACACTACAGTCTTTATCCAACAGGGGTCTCACTGCCTGTCTAAACTGTGAACATTAATTTTATATTTTATAAGGAACTGATAATATGATCTTTCTGTCCGACACGACGAACCATATTATATACAATGTAAAATAATGGAGGTATGATTGCATAAATAAATAAACTGCAAACATAAGTACTTTGACTAAAACACGATTGCCAGATCAAAATGGAATTGTTTATATCTGAAAGACAGCTTATCTAACAGGATCTCCTCGGCTCTCCTGGCATCCAAGCCGCTGCTCTAGACCTCACTCTCGATGGGGCTTGGCAACTCGCGTCTCCTCTGTATGGCGCACGGTTGCGGCTGCGGGTTCACGGCACATCTTTGGTGCTCGAAACGCCGGGAGGAAGGAGGCTTAAAGGAGGTGTTTTGAGGGAATTTTTGAGAGGGTTATTGTATTCTTCTTACTGCTGAAACTAATGCCAAATGATGGAGAATTTTTGTTCCAAAAGATTTTCTTGGAGGAGGGGAAATTAAGGGGTTTGGAAGGAAGGAAACTCCTTCTATGTTGAGGTGATCCATCGGATACACCAGTTAAATCCGGTGTGACTTAGTAAAAAGAAACACAATTTTTTATCCCTACGAAAATGAACCCGTTAATTTATGAAACAAATGTAAATTGAAATAAATTAGTAAAAAATGTACACAAAGTTGAATTAAAAATTAACACATATCTGTTTATACTTTGGTGCAATCGGATAAGATGTGATATAATTTAAATTACGTAAATATTCTTTTTTTTTTTAATTTTTATTTTTGAATACAAAATGTTGTAGTGAATTGGTTTCCTAAAAAGTAACATTTTTGTGCCTACAAAATCCTCGCTTTTTAATAAAAAATTAACGCGACTAAATTCGTTATTCTATTAAAAAAAATGTAAGTCTTAATTGTGCAATCGGTTAATAAAAAAATATACACTACACGTTGTACAATATACATATTTAGATTAAATAAATATCCTTAATTCGTGGAATAAATCATTAATAATATATTTTAACTGCTCTTATAAATACTGAGGTGGATGCTTTCATAATCCACTGTCAAAAAACAACAATAAGATTTTAGTTGCATAACACAAAAGTTTGTATTGCAATATGGGTCAACCATGGCAATATAGATCAACCATGGGGTCTAACGAAATAAGTTACCAAGTCCAAAAGACTAATGATGAAGCTAAAGGTCGTATGAATGTTTCAAAGAAATCGAGTCATCCTACAAAAACATGTTGGAAAAAGTAATTGAGGACACCGCGATATAGCCTTCAATTCTTTCATAATAGCTTTCTAGAAAGTCGCTAGGCGCCCACTAGGCACTCGACCAGCGCCTAGCGCCTAGGCGTGGCCTAAAAATCAAGATTAAATACCTTATTTATATTTATTTTCACTACCTACCAAATAAAAGTATCTCAATTTATAATAAATCAACACACTTAAGTCCAAGTAATAATATTAATATATTATAAAGAAAACATGATACAAAAATATAATTAGTATTTTAAAAAAGTTAAAAAAAATTGAAAAGATTTCGCCGAGCCCGCCTAAGAGCTCCTAGGTCTGCCTAGGCGCCGGTCACCGCTCAGCCACCGAGCCTGCCAAGCCCGCGTAGGAGCGCCCGTCTAGGCGCCGCCTAGCCACCTAGTCAATTTTTTCAGTCGATTTATGCAAATCAGAGGCGGTCAGGCAGCGCCTAACGACTAGGCGGCAGCTTAGACCAATTTTTAGTACGACGATACATAATAGATATACTTTTTGAACTGTTAATTACTTTTCTATAATTTATTCTATAGAATGGTCGAGTTATTGGTTTGATTCGGGCTATAAACATTTTTATGTTCGACAAGTAGCAATCTTACCATATTATAATTTTCTCATATTTCTCTCATAAATTACGATTTACAATTCACTTTCACTGTCTATTCTTTTTTTTCATCAATTAGTCCATCAAATTTTTAAATAAAAAATTTATTTTAACAATAGTTTTTATCATATATTCCTTAACACAACACCCGTGTAATACACGTGTATTGTACTAGTTTCTTTTATTATCTAATATAGTTCATTTTTTTTTTAAAAAAAAAAAGAAAAATCTAATAACGTTCAATTTATATAATTTTAAAAATAAACATGGTGCATCGCACATGTTATGCATCACGAGGAATGATTAAAAAATATAGTCGGAAAAGAATAATATCTTTTGGGGGTCGACTTGCTCTGATCAAGAGCACCCTTAGCACCCTCCCGCTTCACCTCCTTACGGTCCTTGACCCCGACCAGTCTACTATTCACGAGCTAGATCAGATCCTGGCCCGTTATTTGTGGGGGCATGGGGAGGGCTCCCGGAGAGGGAGACAGGTCCACTGGGTGAAGTGGGACTCTGTTGCCGCCCCTTCTCTGAGGGGGGTCTCGGGATCCAGCGTTTCTCGGATGTCGTCACTGCATTTTCTTATAAGATGTGGTGGCGATTTAGGAAGGATAAGTCACTTTGGGCTCAGCATCTTCGCCGGAAGTACTGTCCTAGAGGCGCTGCCCATCCTTGTAGGGTGACGGCCACCGCCCGTGAAAGCAGGCAGTGGAGGTAGCTCACCATGTTTGGTAGACGTGCTCAGGAGCACATTTTTTGGACTCTAGGTGAAGGAGATGTTAGCTTTTGGGATGAGTGGTGATTCGGTGAGGGTCCCCTTTCGAGCACTAGGCAGGTCACCCACCTTTCCTTTCTGCAGGTGAAGGACCTGTGGACGGAGGGAGGTTGGGATAGGGATAGGGATAGGTTAGAGAGGATTCTGGGTACAAGAGAGGGCTTTAGTGATCAGGTTATTGATGAGATCCAGTAGATTCCCATCTCGGAAGGAGGTTTGGACGGTGTGAGGTGGAGACTTACATCTTCGGGTGCATTCTCTACGACCTCGGCTTGCGGGGAAGTACGGCTGGATGACCAGCCTAACCTTCTCTTCGGGGCCATCTGGACTGACCTACTTACCCCGACCGACTCTGTTTTTCTTTGGCGTCTTCTTTTACGCCGCCTATCGATTGATGCTGTGAAGCAGACGAGGGGATTTTCCTTCCCCTCGCGTTGCTACTGTTGTGCTCAGACAGGTGACTTTCAGACCGAGACCTTCACCCATTTATTTTTTGAGAGCGAGACTGTGAGAAGAGTGTGAGAGCATTACACCAGTTATACACATATTTCCCTACCCTCCACAGATTTTTTCCTTGAGCTCCTGAGTTTTTTCAGACACCGCACACACAGTAGACATGTGGGCTTCCTTATTTTTTGTCTGATCCTTTAGGCCACCTGGACAGAAAGGAATAATGCGAAGCATAGGGATAACTCTTTTTTGTGTTCCCATATTATTTTGCATGTTCACCGACATCTCTCCCTCCTTTCTGCTTTGGGCAGACTCACCCAAAGAGACTGGACAGGCTGCACGACACCCCACCGCCTTGCACCACCTCCGTTGCCGTCTGCCCAGTATCCTTGACCCAGAGCTGTTGTTTGGCTGAAACCCGAGTTGCCTTGAGTTAAGCTAAACACCGACTGAACTTTTGACCGACACACTCGAGTCGCTGGAGGAGGGGGCTGATTAGGGATCATAGCGGTTCTCTTATTACCGCTTTTCATGCCCCCTTTCGGGCCTCCTCGAGCTATGACGCAGAGATTCAGACACTCCAAATCGGTCTCCAGATTGCTGCCTCGATATCGTCTCATATTTGGATTGAGTTGGACGCTGCCGCTGTCGTCACACTCTTGACCTCTGACCATCAGGGCACTTGGCAGATTCAACACCCACTCATGCGTATTAGAGCCATACTTCGGTCGATTAGATATTGGATCTCACACATCTTCCGTGAGGGGAACCGACCTGCTGATTTCCTTGCTGGCATCGGGTCCTCCTCTACACAGAGACGTATTCTTCAGCCTGACGACATTCCTATCCGCCTCCGCAACCTTATACGGATGGACCAGATTGGATACCAATTGTTCAGATTTGGACAGTCGGACTTACATTTTGGTGCCTCTGCTTACTCGTGATGTTGACTATTCGCCTTGACTCTTTCAGGATCAAGATCAGATTTTTGCTGATTATGTGCAGCTGTTGTTTTTTTCTTTCTTTTACTTGTTTTTGTTTTGTTTTGTTTTTCATTTGGACTGTTGTTTATTTAGACATCGAACTGTAGTTCTGTGACTTTTCAGCCCATTTAGGGTCTTCATATATATAAGTTGGGGGTTCGGTCTTAACCCCACACTTCCC